CGACGTAATCGGCGATGCGATCAGACCCCTCGTTGCGCGGCACCGGAAGTGCGCCCGCCGTCTCTGGGCATGCGCGATGCGAAAGCGTTCTCATCGGCTTTGAATTGCCCGCCGATGAGGTTTGCGCAGTCTCGGGCGCACGAGGCTCAACGAGGTCTTAATCGAGGCAAGCGTTTGTGCCATTATATGGCCGAGCTGGGTTCGGGCCCCCGCACCGCTGGCTTGCACGCTGAACAAAAGAGAAATTGGCTCTGCGCTGTGCTGGAACGCGTGGGCCTTTCACTTGGACGCCCAGCGGCCGCCCGTGGCCCTTGTGCTTTCGCGCTCGCCCCGACCTGACTTCATGATGTGATCAGCTGGTGCCGCTGCTGCTCATCCAGTCGGGAGTGATGCACGGCGGCCCCCGCAGTGGCGGCCTCTGGGAGTTCGGAATGGGCCCATCGTCCGAGCTCTGGAGCTGGCTCCCTCGCCCGGCCCCGAGCTCGCGCCCCTCGAAGGTGGCGCCGACGGCGTTGGCGCAATGCTCGGCAAGATCGAGCGCCTCGCTCGCCTCGCCCCTGCCCTCGCCGCTGCCGCGAGCCTCGAGTCGCCCCCCTCCGCCCCCTCGAAGGCGCGCTGGTCCCGCTCTGGGCCGAATGCGCGGAGGCTGCGGCATCGGGAGCGCGCGCAGTTCTTCGCGCCATCTTGCCCGCGCGGCAAAACTTCATTGTCGCCGGGCAGGCCAAACACTGCGGAATGCACATCGGACCATAGGCCGCGAATGACATGCAAGGGGCTGCCTGCGCGCAGAAGTGGTGGGGGAGAATCCTCTCGACCTCGTCGTCCGACGCTCTCCCGACTCCGCCTTTCGTCTGCGCGAAGTCGTGATTACCCCCATCCTGGGCCACACGGCCCGAGCAGTGCAGCCCCCGAAGCTGCTCCTCGCGCGGTGCCTGCGCAAACGTTTGAAACTTCCACCCATCTCGCTCTCCGGCCCTGGCCCCCGGTCTCTGCCAACCTGGTGCGCCTCGGTCCACGCCCGCCTCCGTCGCGGCACGCGTTGTTGCATCTAGTCGGCGCGCTTCGAAATCGACCATAGCGAAGCGGCCCAAGTGGCGCGCGGAACTCGAGCAAACGTCGCGGGACCACAATACACTGGCGCGCTATGCGAAGCAGCTCTGGCCCCCGCCCTTCAGGCGTGACCCAGCTGCCATCGCTCGGTTCCTACATGGCCGCGCCCATTCAATCGCGCCCCCGAAGGCCCCCTGGGGCCCCCAGCGCATCGCTGGCGCCGGGGCCTCCCAAGCTGCCGCCCATGTCGAGGAGCTTCGAAAGCGTCCGCGCTTCTCATGGGCGCGCACTCGTTTCCTCGCCCGTGAAGTATGCCCAGACAGGCTGCGCCTGACGCTGCAGAAGCGCGTGCAAGCTTGGTACCCCGGTAAACAGGCCCCCCTCTGGCACCCCGCTGACAGGCCCTGAAAGCGATGCTCGCGAAATCCCGCGCCGCTTTTTTCTGGTCTGCTCCGATAGCCATCGCGGGCGGGCGGGTTATCCCCCAGCGGATGCACATCCTGGACCATCGGGGTGCGTTTTTGGATGCGCAGGCGAACCTGGTTCGATGTCCCATTATTCTTTGCTGCCCTCGCCTGCTCAGCCTCGTCGCCTTACCTCGCTCCTCTCTCTGCCTCAATGAGTGGTGGTCCTTGCCGGTCCGGGTGAAGAGAACGCGTACTTTGGGGAAGCAGCCAGGGAACGCGCCCTCTGGCTGCTCTTTTCCGTTTCGAAATGCACCACAAGTTCAGCCAGAACGACCAGCCCTTCTACCGAACACCTCGAGGTGTTCTCTTTTTCAGTTCGCGCTCTCGAGGCGTAAAGCATGAACGTAGCATCGCGAAGGTACTTGCGACCATCATTAACACCATCAGCACCATCAGCGTCATCATCATCAACGACCACACCACAATCAACATCAACATCATCATCAGCGCCGCCATCATCATCATTACCATCATCATCATCATCATCATCATCATCATCACCATCACCATCACCATCACCATCACCATCACCATCATCATCATCATCATCATCATCATCATCATCGCCATCATCGCCATCATCCTCATCATCACCATCACCATCACCATCATCAGCAGCCTCGTCGCTGCTATGTCCTTTCTGTTTCCCCCTCGAGCTACCCTGGGCCAGCCACTCCTGCTCCGTTCCCCTGTTTCCGTCCTGCTTTCCCTACTCCTACTTACATTGCTTCTCCTGCGTGTTGTGTTTCCTCGTCCTCCCCCTCTTCCTCATGGGTGTTTCTCACTCCCCCGTAACCTCCTCCCCGCTCTTCCTCCTCCCCGCCCTTCGTCCTCATCCTTAGTAAAGTAATCCTCCTCCACCTGTTTTTTTCCCTGGCTCCTGTCCTACCATTATTTTCTCTTCCGTTTTTTCCCCCTTCCTCTTTTTCCGTCTCCCCCTCTTCCTCCTTCTCCGTTCGACGCTGGTCATACATAAGCATGTTCCTCCTCTTCTTCCTCCTCTTCCTCCTCCTCTTCCTCCTCCTTCTCATCCTCGTCCTTCTCCTCCTCGTCCTCGTCCTTGTCCTCCTGCTCATCCTCCACCTCCTCCTCTTACTCCTCCTCCTCTTCCGTTCCTTTCACTCTCACCCCTTCCTTCCCCGTTAGCATCCCTGCTGGTGTTTCTCCCCGCCCTTGCTCATCCTTCTGCACCTCCCCCTGCTCGCCCTGCTGCTTCCCTCAGGGCGTTGCGTGGCCTCCGGGCTGGACGCCGCCCGAGCCCAAGCCGGAGGGCGAGGACTGCCCGTGCGTGCGCCTGGGGGTGTCCTCGGCCTTCGCCCCCTCCCACCCCCTGCCGCTGCCGCCCCCCTCTGCCCCTCTCCCCTCTTCCTCCTCGTCCTCCTCCTCCTCCTCCTCCTCCTCCTCCTCCTCCTCCTCATGTTCCTCCTCCTCCTCCTCCTCCTCCTCCTCCTCCTCTTCCTCTTCCTCCCCATCCTCCTCCTCGTTGTTTTCCTCCTCCTCTTCCTCCTCCTCCTTCTCCTCCTCCTCTTCTCCTCCTCCTCTTTCCGTAGCCATTTTGGCTCAAGATGCCAGGTTCCCTTGGGGCCAAAACGGATACCGAAAGTCCGCGGCAGCTTTCACCCTTCACGGAGGACCCTTGCACAGGGCGCGAGCAGTGGCTCCAGTCGGCGGAGTGCGCTCCTGAGGCAAGGGGTTCGAGAGCCTCCAACTATCCTCAGCCATGGCGCCGGCGCCGTGGCACTCTCCGAAGCTGGACTGGATGTGCAAGTTCTGTGTACACAAAAAGTTTGGTCTTCCTCTGGTCAACTGGGGCAGCAATGATCGTTGCTTCATGTGCCATTGTGTGCGCCCAAGCAAGTCTCCTTCATTCAGCACGGGAGGCAAAGACAAGGGAGCTTTCAGCAAGTTGGTGCGCCGCCTCGAGGAGTTGGAGAAGGAGAGTGCCACCCTCAAAGGCGACGGGGTCGGAGGCCCTCCGCAGTCCGACACCACCAACGAGCCAGCCGAGCTTCGTGAGGATATCGATGCGCTGGCCAAACATATCAAGTGGTTGGAGTCTACTAAAGGCGAGTGGGCAAAGGCCGCATTGGCCGCAGCTCAGTCTCAGCTGGAAGTGGCAAGGGTCAAGCTTCACGAGAACAAGCCCCTGGGGGCGAAGCTTAGCGTTCTTTCGAGGAGAGTGGAGCAAGCCCGTAAGCAAAAGGAGAAGGCCATTGCAGATCGTTCCGTGGCCCAAGCAGCTCTGGAATCAGCACAGAAGGCATTGGCAGACGCCGACGCCCTCATCGCCGAGAAGATACATGCATATGAGAAGCTGGAGATCGAGCTGTCTGACCTCACCCAGAGGGACACGGACACGGTCGAGATGGTCGTCGATGAGGTCAAGCTTGAGGACGTTCTCTCAAGTATGGAAGGCATCAGTGACCCGAAGAAGGCCGCCCCAGCTCTGGTGGCTGCCCTCAGGGCAGGAGGTGGGGTCGGGTTGCTGAGCCAGCGAGGGTTCCACGGCGTGAACCTGGCCCCTGGGAGCCCGACAGGGAGGACATCGAGGATCTGCGCAAGTTGGTCAAAGATTACGTGGAGCCGTCCGCCGAGGAAAGGATTGTTCGAGCACGTGCACGTTCCTTGGCAGCAGGAGGTTTTCACCCGTATTGATTGCCCCCCTGCTGCGAAGGTGGCAGACCGAGGGGGCAAGAGATATAAGTCAAAGTGCCGCAAGAAGTTCGTCATCAAATATGGAGGGTTGGATTTTCCTGATTACTCGGAGCTCAGGCTTTCAGAGTTCAAAAGAGAAGGCGACCCAATCGACAAATCATGGGTAAACACTACGGTGGGCTGTTGTGGAGGCAAGTCGCACGGCGACTTAGTGCAGCAGCTCAAGTGGGATGCGGATCAGCATCCGTCAAGTTCCATACCTGTACCTACCACACTGGCCTTGACCACGTACAACAGCAATGTCTGGAGTACGATGCAAGGTTTTTGTTGGAATGGATGGTGCTGGACAGAGCAGACCAGCCCGACATTGTGTTCTACCAGGAGCACAGGCTGCGCAGCGGCGTCCAGCTGAAGTCCGCACAAAGCTGGGCGCGAGAGCGCGGCTACAAGTTCCTGGCAAACGGGCGCACCATGACGGGCAAGAGGATCACGGAGACATCCAGTGGGGTTGGCATCCTCACTTCAGGTCACATCGGCAGCATTGAGCACCTCCCGAGCAACGAGTTCGTCAATTCCAGGCTCTTCTTCCAGCGCGTCATGCTGGGAGGTGCGCAGGTGCTGCTGGTCTCCAGTTACGCCATTTGCAGTGTAGGTGTGGCAGACAACGTCGAATTGATTGCATCGCTGCTTGAGGCGGTGCGCGCAGCCTGCCTGCCTTTCATCATAGCAGGAGGTCGGAATTTGGAGGCCGCATTTGTTGGCAGAGACTCGTTTTTGAGGGCTGGCTTCCTGAGTCAGGTGCACGCAGAAGTTGTGCACAGTGGGAAGCCAACGTGTCATGACTCACATTGCGATTTTTTCGTGATCAGTGATGTGCTGCTTTCTTTTGTCAAGTCCATTTCGGTTCTGGAAGACACCCCAGCTGGGCCCCACAAGGCGGTCAAACTTGCCCTTGGAGGGCTGGGGGGCCAGCGCTACATTTACAGGCGGGTCAAGCCCGACCCATTTCCTATGCCTCAGACGGGGCAATCCTTTGTTCCAGGAGACGTCTCGAGCTGGCCAGGTTTTAACCTGGAAGAGGGGGAGTCGGTGGACAGTCTGGCGCGCCGCTGGTTTCAGTCTGCTGAGCTCTATCTGTGCATGCGGTTGGCCATCCCAGCTTCGGGCTGGCCGCGTTACTGTGGAAGAGAGCTTGGTTGCCGTCTGGAAAAAGTTCCCCTTGCGTGTGAATGGGGCAAGAGCCTTCGCAGAAAGGCCTCCCCCCTTGACTCAGAAGTGGCTCAGCATCAGGCGTTTAACCATGCAATGGCTCCGCGCTTCAGACACCACCGCCTCTGCCCAACAGGAGTCGAAGGCCAGTGCCGAGAGTCGTCATAGGGAGTTGGGGGACGCGTGGGACACGGGCGGCGTGGCGGGTGTCGGAGAAGTCGGTTTCATGATCGGTGATTATGAATCCTTTCTGCAACTGCTTGCGAGCGACGATCAGAAGGGCGAAGCTTGCAAATTTGTTCAAGACCAAGTGCTTGCGCACGCGGCTGCAGATGCGGCCGCCGCCAGAGCCAGCTGGGGAGAATTTGTGGAGCTCGCTCTTCAGAATGGCGCGGGTTTGGCGCACCGTTTTCCTAAGGGCCCCAGGGGCGCCGATCCGTCTGATCAGGACTCCAGCGGGCTACCTGTCGTAGGTCATGCGGCCCTCCAGGCCATGCTGGGCGAATGGGAGAGCTTGTGGGTTGTGCCTGAGCGCGAAAGTGAAGCTCACCCGCTCACCTGGCCGGTTGAGGATGCACCGCCGCCCCCTAGGACGGAGAGTCACAGTGTCAAGGCGGCGTCGCAGACATTCAGGGCAAAGACAGCGCTGGGATGGGATTGTTTCCACCCGCGCTGGATCGAGCATCTGCCTGTCGAGCTGCTAGAGTCCTTCTCTGCGCTTATGCACCGCTGGGAAGACAACCCAGAGGACACATGCATGTTGCTAACTATCATTGTGTTCCTTGCCAAGCCCCAAGGAGGAGTGCGCCCCGTAGGTATCCTCTCTCTCTTCGGTCGCATCTGGTCTCGACGGAGGCGCTCAGAAGCGGCCAAATGGGAGGGCACCCTCGGAGACAGTTGCTTCTGGGGGTCCTCGTCCGAAACGTCGTGCGGCAAATCGGCCTGGATCCACAGCGTGCTTGCCAGCGTCGCCCCCGTTTATAACTTTGTCAGTGTTAGTGCGTTTGTAGACCTCAGGAAATTTTATGAAATGATCAGCCACGCTGAATTATTATGTGCTGCTAGGGACACAAATTGTCCCATCAGGTTGTTAAAACCATTGTGCTGCATGCACAGAGGCCCAAGAAGGGCCGCATACCAGAGATCGGCGTCATCTGAACTGCGAGCCAATGGAACAGTAATAGCAGGATGCCCCTATGCAACTGGTCTGGCTAAACTGATGACTAGCACGACACTGAGACACATAGGAGTCAGATGTCCCACGGTGCGGATCAAGAACCTCCTCGACGACATAAGCCTCCACGCCATCGGAGGCAGGCTTTCGGTCACCAGGGAAATGAACTACGCGCTGAACTACCTCCTCGTGGGCCTCCAGAAGAAGGGCCTCCCGATCTCTTGGGACAAGATGGGGATTCTCTGCAGGGGCAAGGAGGTGTTTTCGGAGGTCTGTGGGGAGCTCTTGGACCTTTGGCCAGTCAACATCCCCCACCTGAAGTATGATCAATACCACAGGGACCTAGGAGGAGATGCTGTAGATGGTCGTTTTCGAAGAATTGGGACCCAGTTGAAAAGGATCCAGGAGGCCATGAAGAAGGGGGGCCGCATCCAGGCCTTGCAGGGCCTCGGGGTTAAAAGATCGGCGGTCCATCGTGCTGGTGTGCTTTCCAAGAGTCTCTGGGGATGCAGCGTAGCAGGGCCCCCCAGCGGGCGGATCCAGCGGCTTCGGATGCCCTTCCTCAACGCCGCGGGGAGGTTCAAACCAGGGGCCCATGTGGGCCTTGCATTGCAATTCTCAGAGAGCGGGTGGAGATCAGACCCGCTCGTCATCGCGACCGCGGGTGCCACGCAGACGTTCGTCGCGGCCCTTGCGGCTGGCATGGTCTCCAGGAATGTGGTCAACGGACTCATCGTAGAGGCGCGGCCCTGGCTGAAAGAGCGCCACGCGTGGAACAAAGTCAAGAACCCCATCTCAGCTCTAGCAGCATCGCTCCACTGGACGCTGGAGGGCGCAACCACTGTAAGAGATGATGAGGGTATCGTCTGGGGCACTTCTCATTATTCGGCAGAGCTCGTCGCAGACATGGTCAAAAAGGGAGAGCAGAGGCACATGGGCCGATATGTGCTGAGAGGACTACGCGGTGCAGATGAGGAACCGAGGCCGGGAGAAATATCGCGGGGGCCACTTCAGACGGCAATGCAGTCAAAGAAGCTACCCCTACATGGGAGGAGATCTTCGGGGCCTCTGCTCAGGAGGTCACTGGTGCCAAGCCAGAGTTGTTCGAGCTCTCCCAGACCAGAGTCATTTATGCAAGCGCTGTGGCATTGCGCCAGGAACTTTATTCCACTGATTTTTCAGTTGCGACGCCTACGCAGGACAAAGACAGAATGTGATTCCCGATATCATACG